GGGATGTTATTTTTTCTGTTTGAATCAATGAATCTTCCAAAAGATGAAAAAATATCAGGAAACTGTTTTTCCTCATAGACATCATGTATACCAATTTCTGCTGAGTATGATTCATTGCTTATTGAGTGATATTTCTTACTCTAATTATCTCTATTCATGATAATAATCACAATATTTGAGAGAGAAACGTTTCGACTTTCTATTTCTCCATCTTCATACAAGAAATGTGGAAATTGTCCAAATGAAGGAAAAATTCAATCATTTCAAAATAATCCCACAGAAGCCACGGAGGTAATATTCAGACACAAAGTTGAAAAAAGCCCTCTCGAAACAGTTACTTCAATATAAAACTTGAATTACATGGAAGGAAAACACATACTTTTGTAACAACTACTTCTATACAGGGTGTTTCCTAACTACGTAACTTCAGAGGGTGATTTGTTGGGTCGTTTTTAGGAAATAAGTTCTCATGAACAAAGAATGCTTCGAAGTTAAAAAATAGTATACTGTACACGCATCGTACACTGTACTTTTTCTACGGTTGCGTTGTTTTCAAGTATTGAAAATTAAAATCAATATATATGACATCAACTCACTTTTATATTTTATTTGAAATAGAAATTAGCAGTTATATTTGAACAATTTTGTAAAGTAATTTCTGGTAGGTCATTTTGTTTCAACATGTTTTCCTCCATGGCGTTTTATGAAGTTGAAAGATCTGCCCTTGCATTAACTGAAACAGTCGCAGATGACATTCGTGAACAGTGGCCAGTATATAATTCAGGGTTCGGTAATTGTAAAAATTTCGCTATTTTTTTCGCTATGGTGCCAAATTTATTCATCCCCACAGGCTGTTTCGTACATTTGCCATTTTTGTAATAAAAAAAACGTGTTTCATTTGTGCATAGCTCATATTTTTTGTAAATTTGGTAGAATTCTCGGTAAATTTTCGTTTTGTGGACACCCGGCGATATTGAAACAATTTTTGACTGTTTTTAACGTATTTTGATGCGTAGATTACGAATCCGAAAGAAAAAAGTGGCGCTCTCCCTCATTTAAAAAGTTACGGCCCTTCAAAGTTCAGAAAAGAGCACCTTTTCAGCCTTCTTTTTCACGAAATAAACTATTTAAAAACACAAGCATTTATTCACTAGGTCATCTTCACACCTTATTCCTCCTTCTTTAACACTTTTCACTTCAATAATCAACATTTTTCTTATAAAAAATTTTCTGAACTTTGAAGGACCGTAACTTTTTAAATAAGGGAGAGCGCCACTTTTTTCTTTCGGATTTGTAATCTACGCATCAAAATACGTAAGTACAGTCAAAAATTTTAGCTAAAGCAGCCTGAAATCAAAACCAAATATTAATTTCTCGATAACAATTTAAAAATTTTCAATTCATACCTTTATCAGCAAATAATTTTCACCAGGTGCATCTTTTGAAAATTGTTGAATTTCTTCAGAAGTTGAAGTTTTTGACTGTTTTGGAGCATATTTTTCAGATTTGCGATTGAAAAATGCACGTAGTTTTACGTATTTTGATATATCAAAACAGTTTTTAATAATCAAGGTACTCCTCAGCATCGAGTACTAAGACCATAATGTTGACAACTCTTCAAAATAAACTTACAAGGCATTTTCGGAACAAGAATTTACCTTGGCTTTCATTTTCCAGTCCATAAAGTTTCTGTAAGCGATTTCATATTTTTCACTTGATGTGCTTGCACATCAAAGTGCAAAGTGTTCAGAAAGCAAAGATGCAAAAGCATCTTTTGCTTTCTGAACAATTTCTGGAGGTGTATTTTCCAACTCTAAATCTTCGTATTCCATTATATTCAATATTCAATAAATCTGAACTATTTATACTATAACAATCAACAAACCATTTTCGTTGGTAAGTTGACAGCAATAATTATGCAGTGCTTTGGTTTTGTGGAAACGCCGACAATGGGCTACTTGGATATTGCACGCGAATCGTCGACGTAGCATTGTCAACATGGAGAACGTGTCATATCAATCTGACCTGTAACAATTCATGACTGACTTGGGTTATCATGGTAACAGTGAGAAATTATTTTTCACTGTAATGGCGGATATTTCTCACTGCGTGAGAAATCTTTCGTTTTGAACGTATGAAAGCGATGATAGAAGAAGAGATATTATCCGTAGAAAAACGGTATTTATAAAATATTATTATTCTTTCACTGATTTGGTTGGAATTTGCTACAGCTATTTGAAGTAATGAGGCGCTTATTTAACCCGAACTAGATTGAAATTATTAGGTCCAGTGGAATCTCAGTGGCCACCACAGTGAACAATTTAAAAAAACGTCATTGACTTTTCTGTAGTTTATTGATTTTTCCGATCAGGCAACTGAAAATACAGTTTTTTTGGTTTTTTCTGCATATCAAGCTTCGTATTCGAAGAAAACAAATCACTCCTAAAAACTATACATGGACAACAATAAAAACAACAATAAAACAATAACAACAACAATAAAAAACTCTTCAGAGTTCATACAACATACAAAAAACGTGATTCTGCAAGAAGGTGAGATTTTGGTTCCTTTTGATGTTAGTTCCTTATTTCCTAGCGTCCCAATTCCACAGAACTTGCAATACCTCAGGAAATTACTAGAGAAAAATAATTTCAATAATAACAAAATCGATGAATTCGTTTCTTTTACTAATTAGTGTATGAAACAAAATCGGTTCCAGGTAGAAGGTTGCTTTTATGAACAACAGGAAGGAACGGCCCTTGTCCCCCTACCTGGCAGACCTGTTCATGAGCAGATTCGAAATGGAAACCAAAGAAAAGTCGAAGTATTTTCCTAGGATTTGGCTAAGGAATGTGGATGATATTTTCGCGATATTCGATACCAAAAAATGGAATATTGACGACTTTGTTTCCATTTTGAATAATAGATGTCCATCAACAAAATTCACGTATGAGTTAGAAAATAAGAGACAACTATCATTTCTTGACGTTTTGCTTATGAGAAGCCAATATGAAGGGTTAGAATACGATATATTTAGAAAAGAAACAAGCACATACAGGTATATTCTTGACAGTTCACATCACTGAGGATACAGCACAAACGTGCTGGGTTGAATTTTTTAGTGCATCGTCTTTTGACTTTCCCTCTAACACATGATAGGTTCACAAAAGAAAGACGTACAATAGAAGAAATAGCAGCTACTAACGGTTTCTCGAGGGGTAAATTTCTGGGTAATTGTCTTTTTGGTAGTTCAAAACATCAGGTCAATTTCAATATTGTAACTTTTTTAGTGCTTGTGAAAAAAATTGTTATACAAATTTTATGTACCCCCTTTAAGGGGCTGTATCTTAACAAGGGATGCTCCAAAAAATTTATTCATTTTTTCGATGAGGAATCACCTCCTTGAATGTTTTACACTCATTTAGTTACACCCTGTATATTGGATTCTTGGTTTTTTCCAATAAGTCGTTGATATACCAGAAAAAGAGGGTTGGAGACGATATAGATCCCTGGGGAACACCAGCGTTGATGGTGAAAGTTTTCGAGATATCTTTCCATCGACGTTTACTTGCAGGGAATGTCCTTTGAGGAACCTGAAGAGCCATTCTCAAAAATGATCCGACAAGCCAGCATCGAAGTTTGGCCAGCAAACCCTCATGCCACACACGGTCGAAGGCCTCAGAAATATCAAGCACAACAGTCTCCTTTGCTTCAATTCTGAAACAACTTGTGTTTTCAGAATGAATTCAAATATATGGTGATATTTCGTGTCGATAATTGTCATGAACATGAAAGATACAATATTTCCAATATATTTGCATGATGATGTATGGTTTGCATCAGTGAAGAAAATTATAATTGACTGATTCAGTTTTTATTGGGAATATGCTTCAATATTTGAAACTTTAATACATACTGATGACGAGTGATTTTCCAAATTGAAATATTTTCACAATAATTATAATATCAATCTTTTTTTGGATTCTCAGTATAGTATTCATTTATGAAAGACAGTGCTACACCATTTGTCCATCCAAATCCAGTTTGAACTATATATTCTCCACCTCCTCCATATTCTCCGGATGAAAGTGCATCATATTTCTCGAACATTTCATTCGATTTGGCATAACCTCTTATATAAGAATTAACACAATTCTTCGCAAGAACTTTCGATAAATGTACTGCGTTTGAATTACCACTTTCTTTCAAACCCAAAATTACAATTTCTTGTAGTGGCGGCCAAGCATTGGGAAGATCCCACTGCTCTCCAGTCTGCGTAAGAGACATTGGAATTCCTCCCAAATATTCATCAATTTTCTGCGATTTCAGATATTTAGCCGCTCTTTCTCCGTACTGATCCTTTCGAGATGTGTCGAATGCTTTTGCCCAGAGCGGGGCTAGATTACTTGGAAAAAATCCCTTTCTATGTTTAGATAATTTTATGTCGTAATCATACCAAATGCCATCGTCTCCATCATAAAAAACAGATTCTATCGACTCCTTCCAAGATTCATGTAGAGCAAGATATTTGGAAAATTTCTCTTTATTTTCCAGTCTTTCATAGAAATCAGCGAGCCTCTTGAAACTACCGCAAAGAAATGCGTTCAAATCTACTGGAATTACACGTTTTGTATCTATAGTAGTCAAATTGCTTCCAATATCCCCTTTTTCGGTGAATAGCCACCGAGACGAGAAATCCCATCCGCTCTCAGCACCACTCTTGAGGTTTTTATAACAGATTTCCTGAAAAAAATAATATTGAATGAGGTTCAATGATTCGTTTTGAACATTGCTAATTTATAAAGTATTTCAGATACATGAAGGGGAGGTTTTGAATATATTTTGGAAAGTCACTCATTTCATCAGCTATATATTTTCGTAAGATCTTTTGGAGCACTCCTCAACTAAAAATGAAGGGTCTTCATGAAGCTATATCTGTCAAATTAGTTGTCATTCATTCAGTTTGATATGCCAAATCACCATGGATGGATATAGCATTCAACAACACGTGTAGATAATGAAATTGTTTTATCAAAATGGGTGTTCTGTTACGGTCGCCATAATCGTCCTACCGGGAGTCATATTTGCGACTTTGAAGTAACTCTCAAAACGATTGTGAAGTTATAAGCCTCAAAGTCGTAGTTTATCCATGTTACTTGATCAAGAATGAAGCGATTTTCGTGATCCATGGCATTTTAAATGAAAAAATTTAAATTGGAATGAAAATGGTCAAATATTGACAAGTGAAGTATTGTTGGATTCAGAATGTCATTCCTGATCGAAACAAGTAAAAATATATAGGATGTCCCATTCAAAAATTGAAAGTTGGAGTCATTTCCGGTCAAACCGAAAGTACGGCAAAGCAAATAAATATGTCAAAAATGTAAATTGAACCATAATACACAACCCCCAAATTTCGTTTTTCTATATCCAGTAATAATCATCATCGTAGAGAATCATCCGGTATACTGATCGATAAATAATTTTGTACACTATATATTGATAGTGTCGATCTTTTTCAAATTCTAATTTTTGTCTCTTTTCAATTCATTATCATATGATTGATATACAAAGACAAATATAGATTTGAATACTACCTAACTGAATACTCGATTGAATATATATGTGTTGTGTAATAATTTGTTTTTAGTCTGGAACCATTACGATTGAAATCACCTCCATTTTATAATTCAATTTTATTTTATAATGGTTTACTTCTGTCATGGATCCTTATCCGTTGATTGTTTTCATTTATTTATATTCTGATATTTTCATCCATACTTAGTACCCATTCAATACGTTAGTTCATTTTTTATTATTGATATTCTGTTCGAATATGTCCAGTATAAACTTATATTTTTATATCTAGTACTCATTCCAATACTTTGATTGGTTTTATTTATTAACATTCTGTTCAAATATAGCTATTTCAAATTGACATCTCAGTACTAAATTTGATGCATAAATCTCATTCAATGTCAGATTCAGTATTCTCATTCCTTACACACAGGTAGATCATTTCGCCTCGTAATATTTATTTCATTTGTTCACTGTTCATTTCTATATGTACATGTAGTTTTCCTGTAATTAATCTTAAGAAGGTGAATAAATACATATCATTATTATTAATATTTTTTT